CTGCCCCCCGCCTGCTCTGCCCCCGGCTTCCCCGATTCAGCCACTGGTCAGTTTTAGCAGCAGCTGAATAGGGGAAGCTGGAGGCAGAGCAGCTCCAATGGTCCAGCTGCAGAGCACTTCCGGGTTCCTGATGGTGCCGGACCATCAGGAGTGCCGGACCGTCAGATGCTGGACCAATGGAGTTTTACTGTAGTACTTTCCCAATCCTTATTTATTTTTAAAGTTGGACCTACATTCATCATCGCAGGTCAGAAACTATTACACTTTGACAAGTTTCTGAAGTGAACCCTGCATTAGTGTGAGAGTTATGTTATAGTCTTCTCCTTAAAGCACCTGTGATAACAGATCTTTTTCAGATCCTCCATATAGCTTTTAGAAATTTCCTCCAAAGGATCTTGTGTAAGATGACTGGTTTCTACTAGATTCTCGTTCCACGAACCATTCCATGGTTCAACACATTCTTCTATACATTTCAGGATTTCTTTGTCGTGAGGAGATGTGATCTGAGCTCCATTTTCCCAATACACCTGGCATAAGGAAAATAGACACTTAGAATTGTGTTACATGTATGAGATCGAACCTTTATAAATGTCCCACTATCTTAGAGTTACATAAAGTCCAATCATAAACAAGAAGCTTGTAACAAAGCACAGTATCAGGACTAGTTCAGTTCTCAGGAACTTTTTTGGGGATCACTCAGTCCAAAAGTTTTCAAGTATCTAACATGTAAATTCATCATTATGTTGGGCATCCATGCCCTTCCCCCCGAAACTAGACTATAGATGCCTAAAGTTAGATACCTATATTTTAAAATATTAATCTGAAAGTACTACATGAAGAAAACCAATTGTCATTTTTATAAAATCCCACTTCCTTTTCAAAAACAAAACAAAAAAACCCACCACACCTATGCCCACACACACTTTTAGATTAGAACGGAATAGGATGAAGATAGACAAGCAACATGACAAGATGTGATGCTTTGTTCCACAACAGCATCCAGTTGAAAGGTTACATTGTCATCCAATCAAGTCAAATCCTCAATTACTGACATGGGCTTTGTACCACACGTGAATACAATGGGAGCTAACACACAGCAACTGGGAAACCCAAGGACAAGGAGCAAGGTTGATGAGATAAATACATAAGTGAGCCTACTTCCTTTGGAGAAAAAAGCAAATCAAGTATAGGTTGAACCTCTCTAGTCCAGCACCCTCAGGACCAGACCAAGAATTTGCCAAACCACAGGTCAATATTGGCTAGTAGCATTACCATCACTTCCACTGCTTACTGGGCTCTTAGAACACATTTAGGGATAAATTAGAGCTAGAGAACACAGAATATGGAGAGCCAGGACTGGTGCTGTAAACAAACTTTATGGAACTGCGGTAAACTTGGCCACACACAGGGTGAGCGGACATCCAGCTAACTAAAATCATGATGGACCATGGATTTGTCAGACCAGAGCGTGTCAAACTTGTACTTCATATGGAAAGCAGTACTGAGGGCAACATCCCAAATAGTAACTTCAAAATAAAAGTTGAATTGCTCCACATAACTCCTGCTCTATATACAATGTATTTAAGTTAAATGCATATTGTTAAAATTTAATCATCAAGTTCAAACCCTCACACCTTATACAGACTTCCATAAAGAACTACACAAAAAGGAAATCTGACATGCATTTAAGCAATATGTAATATTGTGGCTGATTACAGTGCTCCAAGTTAATCAAACATGGAAGTGAAAATGGACCCACCCCTTTAAAAAGAACAGAATCTCGCAGTAACTCCAGCAGACAAGGTATTTTTAAGTAAGTACTCACAGTACTAATCTTTTTTATAAATACTTTTTAAGCAAAATTCTTTAGAAAGGTTGGGTCAGTTCTAATCCCATTTTCAAATTACCATTTTGGGTTGGGAAGGTTTTTTTAACTATTTCAGATATTACTTCAGCTGCTTGAGTAACCCATGTGTAACAAATGACATGGGAACAGAGCGTATTCCAGACCTACTATAGATTTGAAGTGGAAACTTCCTTGCTTCTGTTGTCAAAACTGGAGGTATAATTCAGAAGCCAATAAAATAAACAATTATGTAAAGCTATTTTTCCTTCTCATGGGTATAGATAGAAAAACTCCAGAAGAAGCCAAGTCATATATTAGCTATTTATAAAGTGCCAGTTGCTCTAGCATCCAGATGACACACTGTATACTGCTCAGCCCAACTTACTTGTCCCAAATTTGCAAAAATAAGAGTCCAGGCCTTACCTTGTATCCATTGTCCTCTTTACGATTATGGGATGCTGTGATCATCACACCAGCTACAGCTTTGAGCTGCTGAACGGCATACGGCTGAAAAATGAAAACAATTTAAAAATTCACTACTTCACTAAAGGCATCAAGTCAGTTAAGTGATTAGTAATACAGGTTCTTAAAATCTCAAGTTGATTTCAAAGCTCTCATTTGAACAGTTGATTAACCAACATATTGTGTGTCCTATCATCACCAATGGGTTGTGAGAGAATGCATGATCAAAATTACTCTGCTAAATTACATTCTAAGAATGTTAAATATCAACTAATTGACTAATCAAATAGTTGATGCATTTTGATTAGTTGATAGAGCGCCTCCGCCTTTCACTTTAAAAGTGAAAGCGCCACGTGGACTCCCCTGCTAACCTCGGGCTCCCTGCGGTGCTGCCGCTTTGAAACACTGTAGGGAGCCTGACATTCCTCGCAGCAATTCAAAGCAGCAGAGCTGCACAGAACCTGCGGTCAGCAGGGGAGTCCCCAGCTGATCCCGGGCTCCACGTGGCACTGCCACTTTGAAATGCCATGTGCAGCCGGGGGGGAGGAGGGGGAGCGACTAGTCGACTAGCCTGTCGATTATCCGATAAGCATTTGCTTATCGGACAGTCGACTAGTCCTTCACATCATAAACTTCCAAAAGAGATAGTCTGCTGGAAGTACTTCCAGATATACAACTTTTTAACGTTTTATGGTGAAGAACAGTCTCATTTAGATTGCATGTATTCGAGGAGGACAGAAAAGACTAGAGCAACTATCAAGAAGTCAAAAACCATTTGTATCCAGGAAGGACTTCACCAAGCATTTGGTAAGCTAGCATACAGCTGAAAATAGATTTTTAGCAGTTATATAGATAAAAATCACAAACCAGAAGTTATCGAAGCCATCCATCATGGATCAACAGTAAATTTGTTCTCCAACATGGAGGAATTAATTGATAATATCAAGGTTAGAAATAGACAGGTGGTAGCAACCACAAGCAACCTAATTTAAGTATGTTAGGAATGTATTTAATCAAAAACACACTAAGCACTACTCGGGAAACCGATAAACCTAATAAGATTATTTCTTCCCATAGTACTAGTCATACCCACAAACTGGGGCCAAAAAGTCACAAAACCAGTTGGGACATTACAAATGCTAATACAAGCAGAAGTCCCTGTACTGGAGATGTTTCAAAATTTTAAATAAAGAATACACTTGCAGAGAATGATCCTTCATTTCTTCTACCTACCTCTGGGAGGAGTCCACAGGTCCCAAACCGGCAAATACTAACACACAAGTAGATCCATTGAACTCAAGAGAACTACTTACATGTGTAATAATTTGTACAATAAAAGATATAAGGAACCTATATGCCATCTTTAATTATGGGCCTTATTTTTCTCATCTCACTGGAGTAACTCTTCTTTAAAATCAATGGAGTTACTATGGATTTAATACTAGCGTAACAAAACAGAATTCAGACCCAAGTTTTCTTCCTGAGGAGTCAAATGTTCCACCTCTTACCTATTCTTTCATTCAGTTTGGCCTTCTGGCAAGGATAAATATTTAGCTAAAAGTAAGATGGTAAACTTGATGAAATCCTATAAGACATCAACTGTGATAGAACAACATGTAGAAGACTTACCACAAACGGCGTAGGAACGTATTTTGAAAACAAGTACACAGGTATACCTTTCGCAAGTAGGACTGCTGCAGTAAGCTTTGCAAGTCTATTAAACAGGAAAAATATTCAGTGAATCCTATTATCCACAATACTAAAAGCCCCATCCTAAAGAACCAGTTATTATTCTGCCTTCTCTCAAGAGGTTCTCATTATAGAAATGCAGGGCTGGAAGGGACCTTGAAAGGTCATCTAGTCCACCCCTTGCACTGTGGGAGGACCAAGCATACCTAGCCAGTCCTGACAGGTGATTTTTGTCCTTCAGCTCCAGTGACCAAGAGTGACTAATGACCTGCTAGAGACACTGGATGGGTGTGGTAGGATACAGGGGCGGATGAGAGTTTTGCGGGGCCCAGGGCAGCACAATTTTACAGGGCCCCCCCTTTGGAGAAAAAATTAGAGCAGGGGTGCATGCCTGCAGGGCAGCAGAGATCACAAAACATTGAGTACAGCCATCAGGGCAAGCATTGTGGGATACTGGTGGAGGCCAGTTCTCTCAACAAAACAAACAGCAAAGACTACACTGGCTCTTGTCAACAATAAAGGGAGGGGAAAAGACAAGCATCTCACAGAGGTAGAAGTTTGTCACCAAAAGTGGGTGTTTTTCCCACCAAAAGTTCCATTGTAGCATAAACGCTCTCACTGGTCTGTCACCAAAAGGCAGGTTACACAGATGTAGTGATTTCTGCATCATGGGACTATAGCCCTTGTGCATATAGCCCTTGTGCATTTAGAAGATACACTCTTTGGAGGAAGGACTGTTTTTGTTATGGGTCTGAACAGAACCTAGCCTCTGGTCCATAACCAAGACTTTTTGGCACTACAGAACTATACACTAAACTCCTGAGAAATTGCCCATCTGAAGAGAAACATTCTAAGCCAAACTTCAAATTACAATCTTTCAAATGGAATCGATCTTCATACCTCTTACTACTGCAGCTACTGGTCACCTGACCTCGCGTGTCATATCCAACAACGAAGCCTCTTTGCTTGAAGTCTGAAAAACACCTCTCAAGGTATTTGTACATTCCCTGCAGCAAACCAGAAGCATGAAGAGTTAGCTCCATTATAGTGTACACACACATCTCAAAGATTACTCTGTTTAGAATTCATTGTGCCATAATGGGAATAAAAATATCTGATTCAATAGTGCTGGGTTAATAATAAAAGTGAGTATGCATAAACATACATTCAGGCATTTGCAGCACAAGTACACTTTTGTTTCCAGAAAGGAAAAGATTGCAAATACTCATGAGACTCTTGTAAGAAACAGATGACCAGACAGAAAATTAGGTAGCAAATCTTTGATGTAGCAAGTATTTGAGATTAATCCCCAGGACAAAACATGCTCAGACCATCTATCAGAGAATTATAAATGATAAACCAATTCATAAATGAAAAATCTGAGGAATCACTCACACACACACTACCTTTGATGCACAAGTACCTCCTTTAAGTCTTCATATTTGTGTTTAGAGCACAATCTATAGAACATGTGCTAGTTCTCACATCGTAACTAAAATAAATGATCCTTCCAACAGTTATGGCAAAGCTCTGGCTATGCCCATGAATCCTACACTTCTGGCAGACTGTTCAGCCTCAGAGGCCTGCTGTGACCTTCCATGCAGCCTCTTCTTTTTCTAAAGGCAAGGACCCCAGCCTACTGAGCCATACTCATCACAGGCTAGTCCATAGTATGTAGTAAAATTCCTCCATAGTCCTGGTCTTCCTACCCAGGGAAAGACTCTGTAGTGGTATGGGGAGAACTGGGCAGAACCTGGACCTGCCCGCTACTCTGGGTTCCGGCCTAGGGACTCTAAGGCAGTGGCAACATAAAGGTTTTGTTCTACTCCTACTCCCGCAACTACTTCCCTGGGACACTTCCCCCAAACAATCCCTCACAGAACATTTCCTCTGGTAACTGACCAGCCTATGCTGCTCCTCCACGGCACTCTGCCTTACCTGTCGTTCAGGGAGGTGGGGTTTTTTCATATCCAAGTGACATAAGTTTTATTGACATAAGAGGTAGCATAAACATAGCTTAAATTCCTCTCCATCATTCATGCCACCAATTACAGCTGGTCCCCGACTTACGAACAAGTTACGTACCAAACACTAGATCGTAACTCGATCTGTTCATAAGTCAGATTACATTCACTTACATACAACCACACTGTTCATAAGTGCGGATTTCTTTCGTAACTCGGGTTCCAGCTGTATAGGAGGTTGGTCGTAAACACAAACGGTCATAAATTGATTCGTTCGTAACTTGGGGACTGGCTATATCCTTTTTGCTTCCTTCCCCACAGCAATGCCCAGCTCCAACATATTCAGGCCGCTCCCAGTTTTCAGATTCTTCCTTGCACACAAATAAGCAATTAACTGGTAGGCTGATGGGGGCCTATCACTACCCTGGTCACATTGTTAATATAATATATTCCTTCTCTCCTCAGCTACATCTGCCTCAATTTTTTTAGTGTGAGCTCTGTAGAGCAGACAGCTCATATCTGTCTGTTTAGGAAGACCCTGGCACAGTTGGATGCTACCAAAATCTAAATGATAATACTCTCATAGAATTATCGAATACTAGAACTAGAAGGGACATTGAGAGGTCATCGAGTCCAGTCCCTTGCCCTCACGGCAGGACCAAGCAACGTCTAGATCATCCCTATCTAACCTGCTTTTAAATATCTCCAGTGATGGAACAAAATGCAGGACAATGTAGCACTTTAAAGACTAACAAGATGGTTTATCTTGTTAGTCTTTAAAGTGCTACATTGTCCTGCATTTTGCTTCAACTACCCCAGACTAACACGGCTACATTTCTATCACTATTCCAGTGATGGAGATTCCTCAATCTCCCTAGGCAATGTATTCCAGTGCTTAGCCCCCCTGACAGTTAGCGAGTTTTTCCCCAATGTCCAACCTAAACCTCCCTTGCTGCAATTTAAGCCCATTAATTCTTGTCCCATCATCAGAGACCAAGGAGAACAATTTCCCCCCTCCTCACTGTGACATCCTTTTAGATACCTGAAAACCACTCTCATGTCCCCTCTCAGTCTTCTCTTTTCCAAACTAAACAAGCCCAATTCCTTCAGCCTTCCCTCATAGCTCATGTTTTCTAGACCTTTAATCATTCTTGTTGCTCTTCTCTGGACCTTCTCCAATTTCTCCACGTTTCTTGAAATGTGATGCCCAGAACTGGACACAATACTCCAACTGAGGCCTAATCAGCACAGAGAAGAGCGGAAGAATAACGGCTTGTGTCTTGCTCACAACAGTCTTGTTAATGCATCCCAGAATCATGTTTGCTTTTTTTGCAACTGCATCACACTGTTGACTGATATTTAGCCTGTGGTCCACTATGACCCCTACATTCCTTTCTGCAGTACTCCTTCCTAGACAGTCGCTTCCCATTCTGTATGTGTGAAACTGATTGTTCCTTCCTAAGTGGAGTTCTTTGCATTTGTCCTTATTAAACTTCATCTTATTTACCTGAGACCATTTCTCCAGTTTGTCCAGATCATTTTGAATTATAACCCTATCCTTCAAAGCACTTGCATCCCTTCCCAGCTTGGTATCATCTGCAAACTTAATATTCATTCACAACCCTAGTTGCTAGCAAAGGTGTTGGCAGGGAACCAGAGAACCAATGGGCATATGGTGCTGAAATTTGAATTGTATGAGATTCCTTGCCTGCTTTCTTTGTAGGGGACAGAAAAACAAGGAGTTGAAAGACAGAGAATGATTTAAACCCACGCACTGCCACCATGCCTCCAAGGAATTCAGGGCATGGAAGTGGACTGAACAAAGAGAAGATTGGAAGTAAGTAAAGGAAAAGGCGAATCCAGTCACATTCAAGGTATTTTTTTTTCTTTATTTTGTAGTTTGGTGTCAACTGCTCTATGTGAATCTATGCCTTCCTCCCCCTTTACCAGCTAGCACTGTGTCCAGAGACTTCTCTGTGTTTTAATTTGTTTTCCTTAGTTGCTCTGTAACATCTAGCAACCAAGGATATTTTATCAGGTTTATCTTTTGCTTTGTAATAAAAATTGGGTTTTTTTTATTTTAAGGTAATAATTTGATTGCATCCTGGAAGGAGTCCTGGAAGGTGTCTATCTGTCTGTGTATGTCGGCATGCCTCAGACTGAGAGTTCAGCTATCAGAGACTGCAGCTTGATTCTCTCTCCTTTTTTCAAGCTCTTTTGGGGCAAAAGAGCTTGTGGTACCCCCTGGGGGTGGGTTCAAGTGTTCATCCCTTGGTTTTTTAGGGATAAAAAAATCACTTGATAGTGGCAGTGATTCCTCAAAATCTGTGTATTGTGATTCTGTGGGGAAGTTTTTGTAACCAGTGTCTGTAGAGGCAAAGGTGGTTTTTTTCTTCTTCTTTTTGAGCTTTGTGAGCCCCCATCTTCTGCACTTGGCGTGTCAGAGTGGAAAACAGCCCCGAAAGCTTGGTCCTACCGGGAGAGCAGAGGAATGGACTGGATGACCTCTCGAGGTCCCTTTTAAGGATGTTAAATTTAGATTAATTGGCTAATCGAATAGTCAATGCAATTTGCCACTGGGGCTCTTATACATTTCGAAGGAGGAATGCAGAAGTGCCTATCAACTAGTCGATGGAATTTCCATCAACTACTCGACTACTCAACTAGTAAATTAACCATTAGTTAATATCCCTGTGCCAGACTAGAGAGGATTAACTTCTATCTAATGTTTATCCATGCATATACAGGCTATAATTTTCTCCTATCCTGACCCACCCACAATTTGGCTCAGCTTTTTTGTTTCTGATAGGAATATTAAAAGCACAAGAGTGTTTTTAATTAATGGAAAAGCCTTTGGATATAGATTTCAGTAACACACAAAATGTAGTCATAATGATTTTAGATCCCTAGTTTCTAAGCATAATGTTTCACCGGTTAACCAATTAAAGGGAGCGTAGATGGAGGGGAGGGGTACTGCTTCAGTCCAGCTTGGCTTCCCCCTTACCCCCCGCATACACACACCTGCTGTGGCCAAGCTAGAGCAGCCCTGCCTGTGGTGCACACAGGCCAAGCCCTCTACCAACAGGGAGCGACTCCAGCCCAGCTGGAGTGCCTCTCCGCCCACAGTGGGCCCTGCAGGGCTGGAGCAGCCCCCTGCCAGTCAGTGGCAGGCAGGGATCAGCTTCAATCCCTACAGTTATTTGGAGCCCGTAAGCCTCACCCATTAAGGGTGAGGTTTACCAGTTAATTGGTTAGCCATTCACATCCCTTCTAGAAACTAATGCTGGTTGCAGATTTATACTGCTTTCTTGAGCCTAATCCAGGATGGTGCCAAGCATTCACAATCCCAAGAGAGTAAATAGCAATGGATCCTGGGCACCTCTCTAGATCAGATCTTTGTATGATTATGTGACCTCCAGTTAAATCTCCTTGGCACTGAGGTTTTGTGCACAGGATATACTTAGAACAAAGATTTCAAATGGAACACCTTAGAAAGAAACAAATCTGAATTACACTAATGGCTATTTAAAGTACTGCTACAGGTATGAAGCAGTTACAATTTTTAGTAAATCAAGATTATCCATTTAACACACTCACTATACCTTACCGCTGAAGTAATTAAAATCCCAAATTGCAGAAGACTGAAAATACTCAACTAACAGAGATTAAATCAAAAGCCTTTCTGATTCAGAAATAACTTTTAGCCCAAGATCACAGTAGCATACCTAACCACAGACAGTAAACAACCAAAAATAGAGCCTTTACAAAAAAAAGTTAAAAGTGAATCACACGGTGCGTCACTGGAAAATACTCATTCCCTAGTGCATAAAATGAAACTTTTCTTCACTTCCTGCCAAGAATGTTTATTCTGTCAGCCAATCCAAGTTCACTCACACTTTCAGCAGACTCAGAACACAAAGGCAGCATGCAGTATTCAGGCACTGAGAGCGTGAACAGCTCCAACCACCATCACACAGGTCAAAAAGTGAAGGGACTAATTAACTTTCTTTGTTCCATACTCCCTATTACTACTGTAGCTAAAC